GTTGAGTTGTTACACAGAGCTGTCTGTGAGTAAAACCTCATCTCAGGGTAGTTCAATGTAAAATGTTTCTAAAGAAACGTGAATAATCCTAAAATCTGTTTAAAACATTGTTCAAACATTGTTGTTTGTTTGTTTGTTTGTTGTGACCCATTCCTTCTGCAGGGGTCATCAACAGTAAGCAAACTCCCATGAAAGACTTGGCAATAGTTTTAGACCAGACGTCTGTCCTGATGGAATCTGGACTGAAACCTTCAGCCTCAGGATTATGAGACTGCAGCACTGACCACTGAGCTGCACATCTTCAAACAGCTGAATCATACAGTCCTCTGAATTCTTCTTCTTCTTTATCCATTCAGTCGATTCCGACCATTGGTCACTTGATAGATCAACTGTCTCCAAGCACTTCTATCCTTTACTGCTTCTTTTAATTGTGAAATATTCTTGCTGGTGTCTTGTTTGATGGTATCAAGTCAACGAGTTCTTGGTCTGCCTATTCTTCTTCTGCCACTGACCAATCCTAACATGACATCTTTCTCCAATGACTGGCTTCTCATGATATGTCCAAAATATGCTAGTTTTTGTTTGGTGACCCTTGCTTCAAGCGAGATATTTGGTTTGACTCGTTCTAATACTTCATTGTTGGTGACTCTCGCTGTCCATGGAATTCGTAGTAGTCTTCTCCAACACCATAATTCAAAGGCATCAATTCTCTTCCCGTCAGCCTTCTTTAGCATCCAGGATTCGCAGCCACATGTTGCTATCGAGAAGACTACTGCATTGACCAATCTGCATTTGGTAGCAAGATTGATGTCTTTGCATTTCCATATGTGTCTCATTTTGACCATTGCGTCACGCCCAAGTGCTGTCCGTGGCTTTAGTTCAGGAGTACAGTCGCCATCTCTATCGATCTTAGATCCAAGGATGATGAAATCATCTACCACTTCTATCGCTTCATTATTTATATTTTATATTTTATATTTTATTTTATTTTTTGTTAAACCCGACATTCCTGCTGTTGTCATGATCTTGGTTTTCTTCACGTTAAGGTGCAGGTCGAACTTTTCACTTTCCTCTTTCAATTTCATGATGAGTTTCTTAAGATCTTTCTTATTTTCTGCCAGTAGGGTTGTGCCATCTGCGTATCTAAGATTGTTGATATTTCTTCCACCAGTTTTCACACTGATACTGGTATTTTCCAGGTCTGCATTTCTCATGATGATTTCAGCGTACATGTTGAAAAGAATTTGTTATAGGGTACAGCCCTGTCTGGTGCCTTCACCAAGCTTGAACCATTCGGTGTCACCGCATGTTGTTCTAACTGTGGCTTCTTGATCCTGATAGAGTGATCTGGATGAGCTGTGGTGGGGTTCCCATTTCTAGTAGATGTTTCCACAATTTGGCAAGTTCAATACTGTCGAACGCTTTGGAGTAATCGATGAAACACATGTACAGCTTCTTCCTCTGAATACTCATCCTTAATGTCAACATTTACAGCGTGCTGAGAGTAATAACACAAATATCAGTAGTAAATGTAGGCCTTTGAAGCTTTGAAATGTAGGCTTTGAAGCTGTTACCTGTAATGTTTTTTATCAGATGTGTCAAACCGTCTGAAGGCCACTGAGTGTGAACTTTTTACTTCTTCTTTCCGTCTGATCAGCAAACTTTACACTAAATAAAAGATTTAAGTGAAAACAGACCCATAAACCAGTTTTATACGACAGTGAGTGAAGACAGAACTGTGGGAGGAGGAGGACGAAGAAATCAATTTTGACACATTAGAGCTATTAGTTTATTGAGAGGTAAAAGATGGATTGAAAGCTGTAAAAAGCATCTCTGCTGATTCTTTCTTAAAGAGTCAAACACAAAACACTGTCCTGGCATGTGAAGCTCTTATCATCTGACTTTTCTCACTTATGATGTGAAATACAGACTGACTCATTCTTCCAAAGAACTCAGTGTCCTGGTAAGTCTGATTATTGGTCAGCACCTGCTTGTTGAGGCCCAAATGTGTCAACTTCATAACAATATAATAAAAGTTTACTTTTTATAACAAGAAAGAACACAAGGCAAATTCAACAGTTTTAATGTTTTAAAGTGCTATTAAAAACAAGTGTTTTCTTAAAATTTCAACCATATCATGTAAAATAGGTGACTGCATAAGTATTCACCCCCTTTAAAGTGACTGTCCTGTTTAATCAGGTTCTGTGATGGTCTGGGCTTGGTTTAGTTTTTAGAGAAGGTTCTGGATTTGAATCAGTTTTCTGACATTCTAAAACCAGATTCTGTTCACCTTCATCAGACTTAGGAGGTGGGGGAGAGACTGTTCTGAATCCTGTTTGTGATTGGTTCAACAGGAAGTCCTCTCATTGGCCAGTGTTGTTGATATTTTCCACCAATGAGCTGATTATATGCCTTTATAATGCATCTGTCAGCAAAAAATATTTTTGAAACCTATGTGCAATAAATATTTATTGCATGTGTAGTTTTCTTTTTTATCTCATTTATTTATTTATTTATTTATTTATTTATTTATTTATTTATTTATTTATTTATTTATTTATTTATTTATTTGTTTAATAGTGTTGGTGCGTTTATCTGTACTCTGTGTTGTGTCCTTGTTTTAACATGTTCTGACATTTTATGTTGTACTGTTGACACTTACCCAGGTCACCATTGTAAATGAGAATTGGTTCTCAATTGACTTACCTGTTAAAATAAAAGTTAAATACTAATAGTAATCACCCTGCCCCCTCCCCCTCACCAAAGTCAGTATATTAGTTCAGCATGTGTCTGCAGAAAAATTCAAAAACCACTTGAATTTAAATGAAACTCTTACATTAAAATAATCACTGAAACTAGATTATAATCTGGTCATCTTCACCGTTTTCTTGTTCCATCAAACCTGCATTTTCACCACATCTAGATCCAAGATGTTACAGAACCTTACATGAAAATATAAATAATTAAACCTCACTCATTTTACAGATGCTGTCTTTGTAGCTGAGAGTCATCCCCAACACAAAGTGTAACATTGCCTAAAATCAAGTGATTATACAAAACATTGTTTTTGTGTTTGACCAAAATGATTAAAATTTCAACCCTCCTAATCATAAGATTTATTTTTTTAATTTAAATGGATCCAGAAGTCTCTACTCTTCAATTTCAATTAAAAAATAAAAGAAAATCATAATTGCACAAACAAAGACATCACTTCTCTTCAGAAGCTTTTAAATCGTAATTCATCCTTCATTTAAATTTAATTTCAATAAGCAACAGATTTTTTTTGAAGTCCTTTTTAAATCTTACTGATTATGGAACATAACGAAGCACAGAGAAGCACCAGCAGACCATTGTCTGTCAGATGTGGCCAATAACTAAAGAAACAAGCAGGAAAAATAAAATAAAATAATACGATCTTAGTAACTCTGGCCTAATGGTGGCGGGTGACATGCATTCATTCAAGGAATACCAGGCCTTTAATTGAATTATATGCCCCTCCACACACACACACACCCACACACACACACACACACACACACACACACACACACACCATCTCCTCTCTCTCTTTAAAGCAGGACAGATGAGCACGAACAGCTGTTGTTTCGATGCAGATGGTTTTCTCTCTCGGAGAGATGCAGAGGTGCCTCTAACGTTTCCATCCCGAACCACCTGAGTCCTGATCCGGTCTGGAAGTTCTGGACAGCTCTGAGATGCTTCACGATGAGCCCGTGGTGCACCTGGAAGCCGGCGACCTTTGGAGACAGTTCCACACGTGCACCACAGAGATGATCATCACCAAATCCGGGAGGTAAATATGAAACACGTCCGGGTTTGCGCGTGCGTTGCGCGTCCTGATGTCCCCTGCTGTGGCCCCGCAGGCGCATGTTCCCGCCGCTGCGGCTCAGGTGCACGGGGATGGACAGGAAGGCCAGCTACATCCTGCTGATGGACATCGTGGCTGCTGATGACTTCAGGTACAAGTTTCAGAACTCGCGCTGGATGGTGGCCGGGAAGGCGGACCCGGAGATGCCCAGATGCCTGTACATCCACCCGGACAGTCCAGGATCAGGAGAGCAGTGGATGTCCAGAGGGGTCAGCTTCCACAAGCTGAAACTAACCAACAACATCTCAGACAAACATGGATTTGTAAGTTTGACTTTAATTAAGTAGTACAAACATGTTTCAGCCTAAATCTGACAGATACAGCTCGGAGAAACAGACACGTCCTGTCAGTTTTTAATTTCTTCTTGTTTTAACAAAACATTAAATACGTTTAAATATTAAGTCAAACTCTGGTTCTTTAGCAGCACAAATGAGTTCCCAGTTTCCCTCCACATTTAGCACAACTTGTAAAATTATTAATTATTTAAGTAAATAGAAACCAGAACAATGTTTACTTAGAGATAACAGTGTTGTTTTTAACAAACTTTGGGCCCACAAAACAACAGAAACTCATTACTGTTGAAAACCAATGATTTCATCTGAAAAAGCCTGTAAATAATTGTACTAATGATTGAAACAAATTCAAACAAATTAAAATTATTTTCCTTGAATTAATACTGAGTAATATGAAAAGTTGTGACCAATCAAAAATCAGCACAATTTCTGTACTTCTCTGTATATAATGCCATAAAACATAAATATTTGATATATGTGTTCATTTATAGTGTGGTTAGAGTTAACATTCATCAGTTCTTTTTATATTAAATAACTTTTAAACTTTTAATAACCGTTTCTTGGTTGAAGGACAAGGTTTGTTGCTGCGTCATTGAGAGGAACTTTTTCAGGTCAGTACATCTTACTGAGGTTAAAACAAAAAATCAGTTCCCGAGTTTGTTTTTAAAAAGTCATAAAAAATAAAGCTTTGGTCAGACCAAGAATCCAGTTTTGCAGTTATTGCACAAATCAGAAATAAAATAAATGATGATGTGAAATTCTAAAAAGAGATGTGTTTTTTGGTCAGGAAGCCATAATATACCTGCAAAATGAGGAAAATGTGTGTAATTTACAATCTGTACAACCTGACATGTATGAATGATTGACAGCGAGAGAAACAAATGAGAGGTTTATTAATACGTCAGATAATTCTGTGTTCAAGTGTAGGACAAGTGTTCATGAGCATCAAGACTGAGTTCTGACTGAATATAACTGATGCAGTATAATATAGTAATAACGAGCCAGTTTGACTGACAGTTCAGGTTAGACTGATGAGCAGGTAGTACTTGGCAATATGACCCAAATTTCATATCATGGTGTTTTCAACAATTATACCAGTATCACAGTATTTGACAGTATTTTTCTTTTTATCACACCTAAGCTGATAATAAAATGTACAAACGTTGCTTATTGATTAACAAACCACTGTCAGTTGAAGTTACTCTCTCTCTGCAACACAGAAACTATTTCTTTAATTTTTTTTCACTGTACCTCTGTCTGTGTCACTGTTTCCCTTCTCTACGTGTCTTTTCTTCTCTGCCTGGTTGAAGACAGTAGTCACACATTTTGGTCCAGTCTTGAAGGAGGAGGGTTGAGTAAAGATCATTATCAGGTCTATAGTTTTGTGTTATTTATTAAAGTTCAACAGGACAACTCAGCCTCTGTGCACACGTCAACTCAACCCTGATACAAAGCCACTTCCCCTGGGCTTTTCATAATAGAAGCATGTTAGTGTCTCCATACATTTACATAGTTCATTAAATCTGTCCGTGCACGTCACTGAAGAGGTGTTTACTACACTCAGCGATGATGAAAATGGGAGTTTTTTAGCATCAGTAAATATAACCCACTGCCAGTTATTAAGAATCTGCTCCATCAATAACATTTGCTTGCTAATGCACATAGCAATGCTGCAAGGAACAATCTCCCTCGTGAAACAGTTCAGTGGAGGGCTTGAACGCAACATTCTGAATGTCGATATTCAGAAAATTCAAGTCATAACAAAAATAAAAACAGGTTTTCAGTACAGACCTGTATACCGCCCAGCTCTATGAGCAGTGAGTTACTGCCAAAAGTCTTCTCAAAGACTAAAAAGTGAAGAGTACATACAGCTGGTAAAATAAGTATTGAACACGTCAACATTTTTCTCAGTAAATATATTACTAGAGGTGCTAATGACATGAAATTTTCACCAGATGTCGGTAACAACC